ACCAACTAATTCTTCTGTTAATGGAGTCAAATGTTAACATTATCATTTTACTTCCCAAATCATTATCAAAAATGTACTCAAAGGTAAACAAAATTAAGTTAGAAGAATCATTCTGCATCCTAAGCACCCCAAAGGAAGAAAGCATGCAGATACACAATGTAATATGCAGTTATGGATGAGAGGTAGTACATCTTTATTCATCTATTTGCTTTTAAAACAATGTGTCTGACATGTCTTGTTGGTCTTGTTTTTGTTTCATTCTGATCTCTCTCTCTCTCTGTCTTCTCTCTCTTCTCTTACTCCTTCCTTACCTCTCTCTTGCTCTTCCTCTTCTGTACCCTCACCCTCCCTCTTGTTTCTCTCTCTTTGAATGCACGTCATTGAATTTGAAGGTGATTCTGGATATAGTCAGATTAATATCTACCCTACTTGTTACACTTTTTAAAAATATTTGTTATTATTTTTATTTTATGTGTATGCGTGTGTTGCCTGCATGTAGGTTCTGTTAATGGAGTCAAATGTTAACATTATCATTTTACTTCCCAAATCATTATTGAAAAATGTAGTCAAAGGTAAACAAAATTAACTTAGAAGAATCATTCTACATCCTAAGCACCCCAAAGTAAGAAAGCATGCAGATACACAATGTAATGTGCAGTTACTGATGGTGTTGAGTTCAGTTCTGTCCTCACTGTCTTCTTCTGAAAGAGAAATACACTTTCCAGGTACAATCGTGGATTCACCTCCTTGTTTTGATCTCCTGAAAGTTTTGCCAGCATGTTGTGGATGTTTCAGTTCTGTGGATGTTTCTCAGGGAATTTGTTCTGCTCATGGTTTGTAGTGCTCTTATTTATCTCTGATCAGTTCTTTTTCTGAATTCTGCTCTGTTGGTAACTACTATAGCCTCCTATCGTTGCTTTGGATGAAAGGTACGTCTTTATTCATCTATTTGCTTTTAAAACAATGTGTCTGACATATCTTGTTGGTCTTGTTTTTATTCCATTCTGATCTCTCTCTCTCTCTCTCTCTCTCTCTCTGTCTGCCCTCTCTCTCTCTTCTCTTACTCCTTCCTTACCTCCATCTTGCTCTTCCTCTTCTGTACTCTCACCCTCCCTCTTGTTTCTCTCTTTGAATGCACATAATTGAATTTGAAGGTGATTCTGGATATAGTCAGATTCATATCTACCCTACTTGTTACACTTTTTAAAAATATTTGTTATTACTTTTATTTTATGTGTATGCGTGTGTTGCCTGCATGTAGGTTAGTGCTCCCATGTAGTGCAATGCCTGCAGAGGACAGAAGAGGCTGTTGGATCCCCTGAACTGGAGTTACCAACAGTTGTTAGCTGCCATGTGGGCTCTGGGATTCAAACCTGGGTCTTCTGCAAGAACAACCAGTGTTCTTAACCACTGAACCATCTCTCCAGACACTTTTTAATTTACTCTTTGTTCCTATTTACAAGTTTTGTGGATTTAACTGTGTTTTTTATGGTTCCATCTTTTCCTTTCTTAAATATATTATTTATCTTTGCCTGTTTGACCAGAGAATGGAATATATATTTATGTTTATATTTATATT